TAATAAAGGAAGGCCTCACTGAGGAAATAAAATTTGAGCAAAACAACTGAATGAAGAGAGGGAACAAGGTGAATATATATCTGGAATAGGAGGATTTCAGATTGAGAAAATATCAACTGTGAAAGCAATGTGTTGAAATCATGTGATGTATAATTTAATAGTTTCCATTTGCTGCTATAACATATGATCACATATTTAGTAGCTTAAACAACATAAATGTATTCTTTTACAGTTTTGGAGGTCAGAAGTATGAAAATCAAGGTGTGGCAAGGCTGCATTCTTTCTAGAGGATCTAAGGGACACTCTATTTCTTTGCCTTTTCTAGCTTCTAGAGGCCTTCTGTATTCCTCAGCTCATGGCCTCATCCTCCATCTTCAAAGCCAATAGGATAGTATTGTCCACTCTCTCTCTGTCTCTGACTTTTCTGCCTCCCTCTCTTGTAAGGACCTTTATTATTACTTTAGATCCGCCAAAAATATTCAGAAAAATCTCCCTGTTTTAGGATTCTTAACTTAATCCTACCTGCACAGTCCTTTTTGCCACATGAGGTATTAGCACACAGACACCTTGGTTAAGGGGACATTATTCTGACAACCACAAATGGTTTGCAACATTAACTGCATATTAGAATAACTGGAGAGCTTTAAAAATTTCTAATACCCAGTCTGCCCTCCAGAACCAATAGCGTCAGAATTTCTAGGGGTGAGACCCAGGCATTTGTATTTTTAAAACCTCTCCAGGTAATTCCAGTGTGCAGCCAAAGATTGAGAACCGCTGGTTTAGTTTTCTGTTGCAGTCTCACACCCTTTACAGTATCTTTAAATTTGCTATACATGTCTGAACATATTTAGGGATGTTCTCCTTGCAGCGTTTATAGTGCACATGGAGAAACTTTAGCCAATAGCAAAAGACCACAGTGGTTTTAAAATTACTATCACATATTGCCCAGAGTAGCTTGATTGTGCAGAAAGCTACAGGGGAAAGTAAAGGAAAGCAAACTCCTTGTAAAACCAAGTTGCTCTTACAAGGGAGGATGTTTCCTATCTATTTTGTTCGTATATCTCAGTAAATCCAGGCATGTTGCAGACCAGAGTTGGGATTTGGTCCATAATTCTTCAGTCTCCTCCTTTTCCTAAGTAAGCTTGATATCACCTTTCTGGAACTTATTTCTACATCTTCGCTTTTACCACTACTTCCTATGTGAAATTCCCTCTCCATTTATCCCAAGGTTTTCATTTGTTCTTCTTTTCCCTTAAAAGCCACTATTCAACCATTTTGTAAAGCATTCAAGGATCCTCTGGCCCTCATGAAGGCTTCAGGTGCTTGGCTGTAATGTCATGTGGGCCTTAGACTGAACCCGTCACCTTTCATTATTATATTGCCTTTTATTTAGAATCTCCTCAACCAGTTCGTAAGTCTCTCTAAGCAGAGGCCATGAATTACATTTTTCATTCCCGTTAGATGGAGTGTCTTAACGTGTATTAGGTAGGTGGTCAGCAAATAGTTGTGGATGTGGAAGAATTCCTTCTTGCCCTGGGATTGAATGTCAGTTCTTTCAAAAGGGTTTCTTGACCGCAGCACAAAGCTGAGTTAAAGACCAGTGTTATGTCATCATAGCTGTGCCAGGCAGTTTCACGTTGGATTGTATTTGTCTTTTTCATGTCAGTTTCTTTGAAGTCTCAGTTTTGTTCCTTAGTAAGCCTAGCACTTAACCATAGGAATGACAAAAATAATATCTGAATGAGTACATAAGAGCACACACCAGCCTAGATCCTCGAATTATTCCAAGGTACCCTCGCACTGCCACACAGCCATGTGGTGTGAGCCCTGTAGTGTAAGCTACACATCTCAGAGGACCAATGTATGGAAACGTGTGGTGCCTTCTGAATGCCTTTGAAATTAAGGAGACTATTCTCTGCCCAAGACGAAACCCTTTGGTAGGTGAACAAAAACTCAGGAATCTCTTGTTATTGGTGATTTTATTATCAATATCTTTAGAAGTACTATGAGTCAGAATAAATATGGATAATATGACCAAGAGATTGATTGCTTTCTATGGAGTTTGTTACATATTTCACTTTTTCTTCCTTAACCTATTATTTATCTATAACCTTCATCATTTTTATTGTAGCAATTTAACAAATCTTTAAGAAATCTGTTACCTGAATTATTTAAAAAATACTTTCAAGTCCAACACATTAAGAACATTCTATAGCACTCTGACAGTGGAATTGAAATAGACATGAAATATATGATATTTTGAGATCAGTTGCCTTCTGGCACCATACCTCTTTCATATTCAGTATTTCAGACCCTAAACCTTTTGTTCCATTGAATGTTATGTAGAAAGAATGCTTACCCAGTTGTATATAAAGTTAATTTAGATATTGACATGAGCATAAGCTTTGAAATGAGTATCAGTACTTTATCTTTTTACCTTATCTATCTTATGTCTACTTTTGGGCTTTCAGTTTTCATAGTTGATATTCATAATGATATTAATATAGTAAAAATCAACAGAAAAGTCATGATTCTTAAAGTCATAGAATTGTGTTAACTTAGGAATAGGAAAGACCAGCTGATTTTGCTTTCTGCTTTGATAACCCAGAGACTGGCTCTCGCCTAGAGTTTTCAGACACTAAAGAGACTGCATTATGAGGCGGAGGCAGACATCAGAATACCAGCATATTAATTCCAGTAAGAATGATAATGCCCACACAGACCACAAATACTAAGGTGTTTTTTTGTTTTGTTTTGTTTTTAACAAAGGCATAATTTCCTTTTAGTCAAGCTACATATGAAACCAAGAAATAATTAAAAGTTTCTCTATTAATTTACTCTGATAAATCACTTGACAAAGACCTTAAATATTTCAAGTCTATTCTGTTTGCAAATTCTTTATATGGGAATCAAAAGTTTGCTTGCAGAACATAGAATCAGAACAGTGGGAGTTAAATTAGTGTTCAGGGGTTATTATTTATAGTAATATATTACTTTGGTTATCTGTATAGTCTTGCCATTGAAACTAGAACTCTGAACTCCAGTCTTTCACATCTTTTTCCAGACTGAGAATATACTTGGAATAGACCTTGGTAAGGGATTGGAAATAGTTAAAAATACTTGAAATGCGAAGGCCACTGTCTACTTCTTTCAACAATGCTCACATGGTAGCTGCTAATATTTCCTCTTCTTTATTTGTTTCTTTGTCTGATCAACACCCCTACTATTAACATTTAAAAAAAAAAACACTTGTTAATACATTTGATTGATTAACTGTTAAGTATTGCTGGCCAGGGAGCATTTCTCTATTGGGAGACTTTGCATTTTATGTTGATTTAACAGTTAAACTCTTACAAGGCAATGTACTTTTTTTGGTTGGAGTTTTTTTGTTTTTGTTTTTTGAGGATGGGTGGGACACACTCTAGTTTTAAAACTTGTAAAATAAATAGGGGCTATATTTATTGAATGTCTTACTCTGTTTTAAATACTAGTTATTTTTCATATGGTATACAGTCCATTTTCAAAAAGACTTGTAAGGTTGATATTATATCTCACTTTAAAGATGAGTAAATTAAGATTGAGAAATTAAGTCTCACAGCTAGTAAGTGGCAGCATCAGTATTTTACTCCATATTTGTCTGATTCCAAAGCCCTTATTTCCTTCTACTGCCCTATTATTTTTTAATAGAGTACCTTCAGTACTTAAATACATTTTTCTTTTGGAACTTCTAACACTAAAAATAGTGTTACTCAACAATGATCAGAAGCATTTCCTTGGGGAACACATTTTAAATTTAAAAATCAGTTATTTATTTATTTATAAATAAATAAATATATGAAGGAAGTGGTATGGTTATTAGTAAATACTTTCCTGCCTCCCATCTCACTGAGAATGAATGCTTCTGTAAATTACTCTTTGTTGAACAAAAAATACAGCTTTCTCAAGGTCAGATTAAGTTATAAATACAAGAGAGGTTTTTTTTTTAAATTAAGCATTTTAATTCAATTCCATTTGTGCGTAAAACTTTAATGAAAGGAACTTTCTATTTAAAATATTTGCCACATAATTTTAACTTCTGATAATATTGTGAACCAGACTCAAGTACACATAAAACATTTTATTCTTGTTCATTTATCTAAGCCCATTTTCATATAGATCTTAGCTCATCAAAAAAATCCCTCTTTGGATTTTTTCTTTTATATAAGTATTCTAAGGAGTGAATAAATCTGAGGATTATTCACATCTAAGTCATTCATAGAATTGTGAAAATAGAGATGAAATATTTTTATATTCTAACCTTTTTATTTTGTAACTTCGATATTATTACTAAATGCCAAAATTGGGTGATTTGGGAAGGTGAGGGGAAGAAAATTAGGGAAAGAAAATTCTCAAATATTTCAAGATTAACAGTGATTGCAAAATTTATTCAATCCTTAATAAGCTTTCAACAAATATCAAACTTTTTGTCAGTTGCTATGAGTATTTGCTTATAACCAATACTTTTACATTTCACAATAATCTTACTTTTAAAAAATGCAAATTTGTTTTAATGGCAGTCATTTATTTGGTTTATTTTTTGATGAAAGAAATTTTAGTTATTTCTTTTCTTTTAAACTGCCAACAGTATTTGCTATTCATAGATGTTTTGTCTTCAATAAAGTCTATCAGGGTGAAAAACTAGATGGGTATTTTTCTTTCCTTTAAAATGGAATGGTCTTTCATTATGCAGTGTTCTTAGGTGAATTCTCTTGTTTAAGAAGCCAGAATACAAGAGAGTGCTATATTAGTGTATTATTCTCACAACAAACAAGCACTGTTCTGTTGCTACCTGCTTGGCCATTGTTTCTGATTGTGTGTGCTTTGCAGTGGTATTTGGATGGTTTCCTGCTCTCTGCTAGCACAAAAAGGCATTTCTGTTACAATGGCCCCTAACCACACAATGACGGCATTAAGGATTTATGTGGAGGTTTCATTATTTTCTCCTCTTTTGTTCCTTCCAGGATGTCTTCCAAGCGACCAGCCTCTCCGTATGGGGAAGCAGATGGAGAGGTAGCCATGGTGACAAGCAGACAGAAAGTGGAAGAAGAGGAGAGTGACGGGCTCCCAGCCTTTCACCTTCCCTTGCATGTGAGTTTTCCCAACAAACCTCACTCTGAGGAATTTCAGCCAGTTTCTCTGCTGACGCAAGAGACTTGTGGCCATAGGACTCCCACTTCTCAGCACAATACAATGGTAGGTTTCTCATGGTCTATTCTGCCTACACTCACTTTTTGACCAGTCTACTCCTCTAATAGTTTGGCTTTCATCCTTTGCTTTATAATTATCATTTACTTAATAACCATACACAAGATTCACTCCTGGCATCTTAGAATTCTTTATAAGTAAATTTGTTCCAACAGGGAGGATAAGATTTTTTGTTTGTTTGTTTTTGTTTTTCAAGAATTCCTGCTTTTGAGATGCTTACAATTTAATTAGAGGGGAAAAAAACCATACAAAATGTAAGAATAATATTAAAGTAAAATATTTAAAATTAGTCAGCATGAAAGTGAGATGTCATATACTTTCTAATAAAACCTTTTTCCAGATAGAGTTACAATGAGTATATTTTGAACCTTCCACCATGATAAATCATTGTTTTTCCATTTTTTGCTTTGCTCAGATTAGATCCTAGTATTCCATACAGTACTTGGAATTTTGTAGAAGAACGTATTTCATAGAAACTGTATTTTCTAATATGACTACACTAATTTCTAACTCCATCACATTCACACTGTTGTTTTGATAATTCAATAATTCCCAGTTGCTTCTTATTCTAGAATATGCAATTCAGGGTAATTCCTCTGGCTGCTCATCTGAGGTCTGGAACACTGCAAAAGATTTAGGAAACTGGGCTTCATGGGTAAGAGGAGAGAAGGCAGCACAGCACCTTTGACTGATGCTTAAATAGCACACCCAAACATGGATAAGGCATTTGGGTCCTTCTTAGCTACTTAAATACATAGGATCAACATGTTAACAAAGTAACAGGGCACTTAGGTCTCAGTAAAGCCACTGTCACCTTTTCAACATGGCTGCTTGGGTAGATGTCACGTTTTTGTAAATTCTCCTCCTCGTCTATGTCAAGGATGCCAGTGCTATTAATTTGAACCTGATTATACCATCAAAAGTACATTCCCATACCTTTAAAACAGCTTTGATTCTGTTAAATCTTTTTTTCTCTCTCCAGGATATTATTGCATATCATCAATATACTTAGTGCTAAGACATGCCGATTTATTCATGCTATTGAATTACTGTATGTGGAATTAAACCAATAAGAAGAATCAGATATCTTTTAATAATTGTGCAATAGATATGACGCTTTGATTTTTCACATTAAATATAAATATTCCTATTCAACATTTTGGCCTCGTAGATCAAAATTTCTTTAGATATTTGACTGTGTGCCGAGATTTTTCCACCATCAAAAATGTTTTAGCAAATCTGTGTGTAGCGCTTACAAAGAAATGATGTTCTAAGTGTGTCTTAATAATACAACTCATTTTACCTTCACAATAATTCAGTGAGGTGTTATTATTAATCCTATTTTACAGATGAGAAAACTGAGGCACAGAGAGGTTACATAACTTGCTCAGATCACAGGAAATAAGTGGGAGAACCAGGGTTTACCCAAGCAATGTGTCTTTGAAGTCCATGCTTATAACATTATGCATGCTGCTGCTTCACAAGAACACAGGTGTATTTTATACTCTGAATATCTGTCATTTGGCAAGTGACGTCATACTACCGTCATTCCTCCCTCTTCTTTATTTTATTATTTCAAGTTAGTTATGTGCAATGATAAAACTTTTTGTCTTCCTCTCAAAAAGGTTAAAAACTAGGAAAAGAAAGGCATTCCATTTGGCATTGCATCACTGCTAATGTCTTTTCCCTTTTAATATTTTAACCACTGCCTTCTCTCAGAGAGTATCCAGAAGAGAATACTTCTTGGATTGGTTTTCCTGTGATAGCACCATAAACACAAACATACGTATTTGATGAGAGAATACAAATAGTTATGAATAGAAGAATACCAAAAGGATAAAGGGGAGATTATTTTAAGCACACTCAAGTTTGGATATGAGAAAAGTGTATTAAATTACATAATTTAGTGACATGAGGAGACGCGATACAATAGTTAATGCAAATGAAACCATTCAATTTTTAATGGAGAATTTGGTTTAACTAAAAAACTATAAACTGCCTACTTTGTACTTTGTTTTATTGTAGACACTATGAAAATAGATTTGAGTAAGAGACATCCCCTTTTCTCAAAGAACTCAATCTAAAGCAGAAGATCTTAACTGGGGTCTGGGATCTTAACTGGGATCTCCTAAGAATGAATGGATAATTCTGTATATATGAAAATATCAGAGTAGTGGTATGGTTTCCATCAGATTCTCAAACAGATCTGTAACCTTAAAAGGTTAAGATCTGCTATTCATAAGTTAGTATGGTTTACCTACAAATGATTCACCTTTGTTTTATTGACATCAGCGCTTATATTTCTTTTAATTATATGTTTCATTGGTGTCTGAATTTGTCTCTGTCTCAAATTTTTCTTGATTCCACCTGCTTTTCATCTCTTGAGTAGACTGTTGGAAGAATCACCTACATGATCTCAAATGTTCAGCCTCTCTTTCTCAACTTTCTTCCAACTTCTACTAGTCTTGTTTCCCTGAGAGAGGATTTGGATTGTTTATTTCCCTTTTGAAACTAATTTATGTCCTGTTGCTTACAGGATTTAGTTCCAAACTTGTTATCTTAGCAAAAATTCTATATAGACTATCATCAAATGATAGCTTTAGTCTCCTCTCCTAACATGTCCTACTATGGACCCAGTACTCTGGTCATGCCAAGCTCTTCATACTTGTTCCTGAGCATACCATATATGGCCTTTGACTGACACAGTCTTTCTACCTAGAAAACTCTCTCTTTCCATATTTTACCTTCCTGGTAAATTACGTTTCTCCTATGTGACTGAGTTTAAAAATTGCCTCTTCTTAGATGCTTTCACTGACCTTCAAAGGCTGAATGGTTAACTGTGTTATTCTTTTATCCATGACATTTATTTATATCCTTTCTCATGGTCTACATAATAATATATACATTTATATGTTTGCCTTTCTATCAACATATACTGTATTTCTTCTTGAAGGCATATTCATATATGTATATTAATATATATTTAGATTTATGGGATCTAGCATGTAATATATACTCAACTTACGATTATTGACTAAATGGCTGAGTTTATATGGATAAGTAAACATTAATAGTAAGTATGGCTCAGGCAGAGTTGTTAAAGACCATAATTCATGGTGACTATTTTTATTTTCTAGCAATTTTAGAACTAAAGTAGAATCTACTAAAATTATATTCAGAAAACAGAAAGTCATGATATACTCAGCTATTAAATTGATAAAGATATATTTTACTCATTTGTCATAATGACTGAATATATTTATAATGTTATTCAACACGAATACTTTGTCTTTTCTCTGGCTACCAGGCCATTGTCATATTCACATAATAGGTCCTTTTATTTTAGTAGGGTATTCTCTATCTTTTTCTATTCCATATCTTTGAAAACAGAGTGTGTTTCAATCATAAAGTTCAATTTAAGAAAAAACCCAGGTGATTTCATTGCCTATTTATGTGACATTCATGCTTAGTTTTTAAGCAAAGATGAAAGATATTGAGAGAGATGTATTTGTATTGCCAGAATAGATTGGAGACAAAGTCCAACAGTTGAGTGATCCCTATAATGCTGGCTTGAAGTTATAGAGAGATGCTTTCAATATAAAACTGTCTTTGGAAAATATTTCCTTAGATAAAAGTTCTGTGTACCTAATGACTATTGCCATGTAACATTGGGATTTAGGGTCCCTTATTCAGATTCAGGATATGCACGTGTTAAGGTTTAGAATTGAGACAGATAAGGATGCAATTCCTCCTTTCTGAAATTGTGTTTATTGTCTTAATGTTTTGGAGAAAAAACTAAGTGCCTAATTAAGAACAACTTCCAAACAGCTGTAACTGGCATGAATACTAAAAGTTCATTTATTCTTGGAAGATTTTACTCACTGTTTAGAGTGCACTACAGATGAACTGTCTTAAGTACTTTATACATATATATATATATAAATATTCATAAAATACTCCCAGATTTCTAATTAATATAAGATTGAGAGACAGATTGTCGTAAGTCTATGCAAAAGACTGATTCTGTTGGTCCCTACTTCGAAGCTTTCATAATCTTACCAGGCAATTAATAGAAAAATTTGATTCCCGTATAATCTTCAAAAAGTTAAAAGCAATGTGAAAGTCTGATTCTGACATGAGTGGAAAGGCCGTCCAGTGATCTATTCTTATTGATGATCAAATCTCCCCTTGTCCCTTTTGTTGTTGTTGCTGTTGTTGTTGTTGTTGTTTAGCTTGAGTTGGGAGGCCGTCACTTAAAAGTTTCAGAGAAAAGCAAGAATCGCTATAATTTCTGGTTCATTTTTAATAATAGTTCTGATCTAGATGATTTATTTGATGATGGAAAGGAGTATCCAGAATTCGGCCTCACGTCAATTAACAAGAGTATTCATGGACACCAGAAGGGAAAAGAGAAAGTCCAAGGAGAAATCAAGTAGTATTATCAGGAGCAACTGGGGACTCTAAGGTGGCCCTCCTGGCATTCATTTTCTATCTGGTTGCATGCTACTTCTGTTGGTTAGATTGTTGTTCCAGTGTCAAATGTGATGTGAAATGGAAGTGTAGACCACCTGTGGTTACTGAATAATCAGTTGTCTTTTTTCTAAAAAGCATATTCTAGCCCTGCCAAACTATCTTTCAACTTTTTAAGCTACTTTTGTGTTGAGTGAAGAGTGTAATCGTTTATGTTGAAAAACAATTTAAGTTGCTTGCTCACTCTAGAGATAGCTGAATTTGTGAAATAAATACTGTATGTGTTTCTGTTTTTAACATTGAAATATCCATCGGATTTCGAAGTATGATGTTATTCGTATCTCATTTATTGTTTATAGCAATGACATTTTCTTGGAATTGTTAAAGAACGATGGATATATAGTATCTTAGCTTAATAATATGCTATATCCTGATGTGCCTAAACATTACAGAAACACTAATTATCATGAAACAACATTCAGAGTGAGCCAGTTTCTTCCTGAAGTCTATCAAAAGAA